GGCCTCAAGTTCAGGCTCTGTGGCCAAGGAAGGTTACACACACACACACACACACACACACACACACCCCAAGAAACTATTTTTGATAACTTGGCCTTGGAAAAGCAGCGTAGCTCCTTGTGAGCTATTTAAAACCTGCTCTGGATTCTCAGGTGGCACCAGCTCTTCCGATTACATGTTTACAAGCCAGGCCCTGATGGTCCAAGCTGTCTTCCACTTCCCAGTTAGTGTATCCCATGCTATTCATCTTTAAAGGGAAGCCTAGGTACCACAGAAAAATCTCCTACAATACCAAAGGCATGCAGGTGAGTGTAGTCAGCTCCATTTTAGAGATCATCCAACAAGCTCTTGTCTGTTGTAATCAGAAAAATACACAATCTGCCTCCAAACCTTACATTTTCCCACCTAGTCACAGCTCTCATAATGAATCGGATTTGCTGGGATTCAGCGATGTATGTGAAGAAGCCAAGGCACAACCCAGGAGCCCGAGAAAGAGCAACCAAGGCAGACCAACGAGACAGACTGGTCACGACCTCTGGCATTTTGCTTCATTTTCCCGTGCCTCAGATCCTGCACACACACACACTCACTTGAAAATGGAACTGATGGTAATAAACTTCCCCCGAATTGGTTTAATATTTAAACTGGTAAGAATCATTCCTTGGACTATTTTGAGAGCATCAAAAGGATATGCCATCGTTAGCACAATACAAGAGGTCCCACACTCCTCAAGATTTATTTCCAAATACCAGATGTAATGGTTTGTGTCTAGTTGTCCCCTCAAAGCCTCAAGTAGGTCATGGAGCACCAGTAAGTGGCTTGAGGGGCGTGGTCAGAGGACCAGGGTAGGGTTGAGGGATGGAACCAGAGGGGCTTGAACTGTTAAACTGGCAGCATGCTCTCTGTTCCCCTCACCCCCAGGCCAGCGGCTTCCCTTGGCGGTGTGAAGAGGGTGATCCGGGACACGGTGGCACCCCAGCCTCTCCTCCAGACCCTGTATTACAGGGCGGCTGTGTCCGTGATTGAGACCACCTTGGGCAGAGAGGAGCTGTTTGAAGAAGAAAGTGGCACTGACCTCTCCTGAGCAAATAAGGCTTGGAGGTCTTGCTACCTAATTAAAGCTGCTTTAAACTGTGAAGCCTCCAGTAACTAATGAGCTAAAAAAAAAAAAAAAAAAAAACCCTTTCCTTCCTTCATTTTGAGTGTCGCGTAGTTGTCCAAGCAATGAGAGAAGAATAACTAAGACACCAAAGTATTTGCAAAGAGCAATGCAACAATTTAAGGTTACAGCCTTCTAAAAGAATAAACAAACATACAAGGAAAAGTATCCTTGTTCTTTTTTGACACGATTGGTTTATTTTACTTTCTGTGGAAGAGGCCCCTTTGAATCACAAAACAGTGGGTGTGAAAATTTGTAACTGCAAATATTGTGTGCAGTGTATACAAAATTCTGCATTCTCTGTAACCCCCAGTTTCGATCTGTGGTGCAACACTCATTTTCATCAATTCAAGTTAACCTAGTCACTTTCAGTTTAAAACTCAGTCTCTTACAATCTTGTTGCTCTCTCTTCTCTCCCTTTCTCTCTGGTCCTTTTTCCTAGAGCAGAGTTCTGGAGCCTTTATAATTTCCTGAGAGATTTTTTCTTGTGCAAGTGGGAAAGGAAGGGTCTGTGATTCAATGCTGATCTCTCTAGCTCAACTACAACTAGAGTGGAGTTCTGGCAACCTGGACCTGGGTACTGGCTTTTTTTCTCTACTCTCCCCTATGAATGACTCAGCTGGTAGCCTGTTTTTCGCCTTAGCCTGTGTGGTGCACCTTGCACACCCCTCTACAGAGTTCCATGACCCTAGGGCTTCCTATCAGATCTGAATTCTTAGCTGGAGACAGTGGCAGGAGGCATACTGGTGCATACTCACTTAACCTAAATGTGCCACACATCATTTGTATTAGAGCAACATTTTGCTGTTGTCAAACTACATTAGTCACCTATTACTGTATAACACATTACCTAAGTCTTAGGAGATTAAACAACACATCTGAATTACTTCTTTCTAACAGTCAGGAATTCAGGAGCAAATTAACAGGGTTGTGACTAACATATCTTTGAGGCTTCACTTAAGATATCAGGGCTGCAGTTATTTAAAGTTTGACTGCAGCTGGAGATTCCCTTCCAAGCTCACTGAGTCTTCACTGGCAATTGAACTGAGTTCAAGTTTTTCATCATTTGGGCCTCTCTGTAGAGCTGCTGAAGGTACCCAGGATGTGGTAGGCAGCTTCCTCCAGGGCTGGTTACCTGCAAAACAGAACAAAGAAGACTGTGCATTGTCTTTTATGCTCAATCCTTAAAAGTCATCTGTCATTCCTTTTCCCATATTCTAGGAGTCACACTGGCACACTGTGGGAGACACCCATCCAAAGACATCAGTACCAGAAGCAGATCATGGGGGGACTTCCTGGAGGTCAGTTCTCACAGGAACATTCAGTCAGGCTTCTCTCCCCCAAGAACTCCATCTTAGATACAGGGCACACGTCATACTTCATTCTGATCCCAAAACCCATCAAAGATGGGACAGGCTCTGGAATGTATTGTCTGCATCCCAATTCTGTCTTAACACATATTGAATATGTAATTCTGAATGATTTGCTATTTCTGCTTCAAAGTCCTATATATGTATCAATACCTAAAATAAATATTGCAATTCTGTTAAAAAACAAAGTCCTATATAAAGTAGAAGTAATAATTGTCATCTAATAATAACCCATGAACAACTTGGTAAGCCTGGCATGTAGCTATTGCTCAGTGACTATCTTTAATATTGTGATTACTGATGTAAGGGTTTCAATTCAGAAATGAATAAATGGAAGCAAAGATTCACATCATCTAAGCTGTGTCTAACTATATCAGACAAAAGTGTGGTTAACTTGGAGATAACTAGTTTTAAACAATTTCAGAGTTTCAGAAAAGTTATAAATGTAAACAGTTCACTATAATCATCACCAAAGTTGTGCAAATGTTAACATTTTACCATACCATACTCACTTGCTCTGTTTTTTCAGTTATATTTGTTTATATTTGAATATTTTATAAATATACTATATAGAGGAGCAAGGATTCACACAGAGAAGTCAACACTATGCTACAGAGTTTTGCAAAAAGAGTTTTTGGCCAAGCAATGGCCGTGACTCATCCACAAGGCTAACACTGAAAAAGGTTCTACGATCTGAGGTACAAGATCTCAGGATAAATCCTGAGGGGATTTCACTGACCTTATCAGACCCAAAAGCTGCAGCTCTTGTTGCATAGGTCCTGCTTTACCTTGGTCTTAACCATCCAGCAGAAAAGTATAAAAACGAAATGTAAGAAATAAAGCCATAGACACAGAGCGCAGGCCCAGCGAGTGAGTGAGACGACCCAGGCCGCGGGATCCTGAACAGACCCAGAGCGCAGTCCCAGCGAGTGAGTGAGACAACCAGGGCCGCGGGATCCTGAACAGACCCAGAGTACAGGCCCAGTGAGTGAGTGAGAGAGACGACCCGGGCCCCTCCGGATCCTGAACAGACCCAGAGCTCAGGCCCAGTGTGTGAGTGACACAACCAGGCCCACAGGATCCTGAATAGACCCAGAGCACAGGCCCAGCCCGGAACCCTTCAGCAGAACTCCCTGCAAAGAGGCTAGAGGTAAGACCTACCCAGCTTATTCAGGAGCATAACATCTTCCCAGAGACACAAAGGGTTCAACTCTAACGCCTGCAGCAGAAAGAAGTGGAGCACAGCAGCCAGATCCAAGCAACACCCACCTGGAGGAATCGGAAATTCGTAGATCTGGACCTGGTGCTAAGGTAAGAACTCTATCCAAGCTCCACACCAAAGGTCAGAAGACAGTGGTATACAAAATGACAAAGAGAAGGAACAAAATGCAGTCTCAGGCCCGGAGTCCACCCAGTACAACTGCAGAAGACACTAGCACTGAGGAAACTGGAAATCACACACCAGATATCTTGGAAATAATAGCGCTGACAGTAAAGAATCAACT